TTTTTTCTTGCTTTAGTTTTGCTTTATTTGTTTCTTTCAATATTTCTTGTATTCACGAAATATGGATAGTTTCTAATGCAGCTTTAACGGGTACTTTTTTTTTCTTTTACATCGTTTTTTTTTTTTTTGCTTTTCGTTTCTACTGTTGTTTTGTGTTTTTTTTTTTCTTCTTCTGCTTTTTCTTCAGCTTCTTTTATTTTTATGTGGTTTTGTTCTATTTTAGTTTTTTTTTTTTTAAATATATATATTTTTTTTAAATTGAATAAAGATTTATAATTGCTATCTGCATTGCTGTTAGCTGTGTCGTTATTGAAGTTATTTCTACAGAGCATTTAAACTGGTGAAAATTTGTGATTGCCTTTAATGCAGTAGCCAAATAGCAGTAACAGTAGCAAACAGCAACAGCCGAAACTTTTAATTTTAGTCATTTATTAATTCTTTTAGTCATTTACTCAATTATTCATTTAGTAATTCATTTACTTTTGCACATTTAGTCATTTACCTGATTACTCATTTATTTATTCATTCAAATACTTATCTCTTTAATTAGTCAGTCATTTATTCGTTTAGTCGTTTGTTCTTTCAATTTATTCAATTGTTTATCAAATTTTTTATTCATTTACTCATTAATTAATTCATTTATTTATCTATTCATTTATTCAATTCACTCAGTTGTTCATTTATTTATTCAATCATTTTCTTATTCAATTTTTATTCATCTACATTTATCTGTTTGTTGAGGTGTGCGTAAATTTTTTCAGTTAAAGTTGATCAAATAATTAATTGTTTAAGCGATGTTTTTTTTCTTGTCCTACAAGTGTAAAAAATTATTTCATGAAAGCAAATTCCATTTGCGCAAATATTCTTTATGCTGCTTACGAGCAGACGTATTTGTTTGAATATTTATGCGTGTGTCTGTGTGTCTGTATGTTGGAGACTAAGCCGTATTAAACTTTAGCTATAAATTTTAACTACTAATAAAGTTGACAAATATAGACTGATCTTTCTATTTTTTGTTAATTTAATGTTGATAAATGTCAACGTTACCGGCTTGTTTTTTATTTGTTATTACTGTTAAAACAAAGTTTTTCATTGTGTCAACAATTTAATGATAGTTTTCTTTTTTTGTTGTTGATAATTCAGTATAATTTTAGAATTATTTTATCGACATATAGTGAAAGAAACATTTGAACAACAACAACAACAACAACAACAACAACGACAACAGGTATCAGCAACTACGACGACGACAGCAGCAGTAATCTGAAGGAGTCTTGAACAAAAAAAAAAGCAGACAGGAAACACTGAGGGAGAAGAAAAAAAAAAAAACAACTAAGAAAACGAAAGAAAAAAAAAAAGTATAAACAAAACGAAACAGTCGAAAAAAATAAACAAGAGGAAATCAACAAACTAAAAACAGAAAAAATCAAGCTTGATACTGTGACGAAGAAAATTCTGATCAGCAGCAACAGAAGTGAATTTGGATTGCAGCGGCAGCGGTAGCGGCAGCGATGACTACTGCAATTTTTTTGGCCTCATTGATATTAGTTTTTCCGACAACACTGTTGTTGGCCACAACTCATCAACATCGAGGTTACAATTTCTTCTTCTTTTTTTTTTTTCTTATATCTTGTTGACTGCTTTCTTTTTTTTTTTTTTTCTATTGTTTCTTATATACAGATTTTGCTGATCATTGGTCTTTTGAGGGTTTTTTTTTTTTTTGTTTCGCTTTCATTTGAGACAATTTTTTGACCAAATTTAGCTTAATATGATTGCCGTTTTTGATTATTTCTAACAACTATTTAAACCTTTTTTTTTTTTTTTTTCTGAACAATAAGCAATGCAGGGATTATTTATAAGTTGCCTTGGTCTTTCCTTATTTTTGTCTAATCTTAAGCTTTTGCTCTTCTCTTCTTGTTTCTTTTTTATTTTTTATAAGATTTGTTTTTTTTTTTTTTTTTTTTTTTTTTTTTTTT